GAGAGAGAGAGAGAGAGAGAAGTAAGAAGGGAGGGGAGACAAGTGAGAAGGAAGGGGAAGGAGGATTGGAAGAAATGCCTAGGATGAGAGAACATTTCACCCCATACCGTGAATTCAAATTTTTGGCTCCAATCCCAAATTCGGTTAAAAGACAAAACCTCAAAACCAAGGCACTGGTCTAGGGTGCAAGCCCAAGTGCCCGCCTAGCACTTTTTGTTAAATCTGAAATAATATATACTCTTCCATTGTCTTACTACCATATTTTAGGTTATAATGTTCATTCATCTTTAATTCCATAGGATGTAGAGTGGTCTAGGAAAGCCAATGAAGTGCTAAACAATTCCTGATTCCTTCGAATTGCCTCTATAGTTAGAAATCTGTGGTGATTAATCAATAATTGATGCATCAGAAACAATGATGACTTGATAAAAAAATTGGTGTCAAACCACTTTACGATAAAAGAAGGGAAAAAATTGGTATCAAGACATTGCAGATTATAAGCAAATATTCTCTGTGATGTTCACCTCGTTCCATCAGCACTATATGCCATTGTGGTACACCAAAGCCCAGGAGCATCATAATCAACCCGAGATCCCAAGTAGTCATACAACCAAGCTTTTATTTTCCCATCGATAGCAGTAGAGAAAATAAACTGCATGTGTTCGAAGCATAACGTCAGTACTCTTCTCAAAAACAAAAAATGTCAGGACCATCAATAGGATAAAAATGTTCACTACATTTAGATAGCCTACTTAAAAGGAAGGGTTGGCAATTTCAGGAAAATCTGAACTCATTCCAAAACAAGGAAATATATCACATCTCCAGGTAATGATCAGTGAAATGGGAATCACCTGAATAGCTTCCTTATGGTGAGGACATACAGAATAAACTGGGGCTTCATGGCCCTCAAATATGTATTGCCTGCGTCCAGCTACAGCGTCCCAGACCTGCCATTTTCATGATTGGGAAATACTAATCAAAACCACAGATGCATGCCCTGAGGTAAGTGCAAGCACACAATTGTACATGCACACACACACATGATGTTTCTACAACTTGATAGTACTAAGTGCATGCATGTGCACACATAGACAAGATAAAATGTGCAACATGCAAACAGATCTGAAGGCAAGAGACACCGCATGGTGCTGGGAAGCAAGACATAAAAAGGTCTAGTGCGCATCATGAGGTTATAGAATCATCACCTTGATTGTTTTGTCATCTCCACAAGTAATTATGCTGAGCTGCTTATTGGGGTGAGAAAAAGCAATATCATTTACACCACCCACATGTGCATCAATCTGGAACATAGAATAATCAGTATGCAAATCATGCTATTGTCACAAACAGGTTGTAGGCAAATAAAAAAAAGTTGTTGGGTCTGGTCTAACCTCCAAATGCTGCCTCAGCTCACCAGTCGAGGAGTATGTATATGTTTGAACAATATGCTTGGAAAATGCAACACCTACATGATAAGTGGTTCCAAAGGACAACTATGAGGAACACCATGGTATTTGTTAAGATAGGGATCTATCTAGCACTTAATGAAGGCAAGTTCTTAGTCAGTAGAATCAATTGCATTGAGGATTTATTATCCATACCAAGGATAGATCCATCAGGACCCCATACGCAGCGATTAACAGATATTGTAGCATCTTTCATCAATGCTGTCTGGAATGACAACAAACATCATCAGAACCAAAGTTATCAGGCTCAGAATGGTCACTGAACAGGCGAAGGGACTGCTCTAGTCAAAACCGGTCCGACTGCTAATCGAACCGATTTGACTAGATTTTAAACTATAATAAATTATGAATAAAATTTTAAAAGTATGCAATATATTAAAAAAGGCGCAGCCCAAATTTGTTTGGCCAGTCGAACAGGTCAAAACCGGTTGGTCACATCGGCCAAAACCGGCCAAGCACCAATCTTGACCGATTTTTTACTTAAAGCGGGTTTTTACTTTGGACTAGACTAGCCAAACCACTAGTCGGCGGTCTGACCAATAGGACAACCTATTTGGTCCTGTCGTGATAATTAGGATGAGGACTTAACAAGACTAATATCAGAAAAGAAGTTTAAATTCCTTGCTCTAAAAATTTCTTAAGTGCATTCATAATCCTACACTTATCGTATGAATATCACTACAATGACAGTACATTTATCATCTAGTAGGTAATACCTGTAATGGCATCGAACAAGCTGAGACCTCCCAGACCTTAAATGGCTTATGAGCCAGCCTATCACGTGATCCAACTTCCCATATTGCAATGTCACCAACATTTGTACCAACTAGATATATATACAATGATAGATGTCAACAGGTATTGATCGAACAGGAAACAAGGGGTATATAACTTATAGCAAAAGACTTTGTGCGACAAAATAAAACAAAGGAAATTTAACAAAATGAACCTAACAGAAGAACTAGTTAACATTTTACTAGTTAAAGACTTTACCCATTTTCATATTAATTTCAGAAACCCCAACAAAATATACATGATCATGGGTTGGAATAGTTGAAAATGGATAGAATGTTAAATAGTCGATAATTTAGGTGTATTTTTATAATTTCCCATAAAAACAAAACCACATTGAGAACAATCAGAAAAAAAAAATGTCTGCAACCACCTAGAAGAATAGTTTGTTGTGAAGGGTGGAAGTCCATGCTCATGACATTTGAGCCTTGGTTGAGGGTCCTCACAACAGTTTTTGGAAGATCATCTTGTGAATAGGCATTTGGAGGGTGTGTTGACCCAGAGTATGAAACCTTCATGAAAATAATGGAATAAAGAAATGACCACAAATTAGAAGACTGCATCTCCATTAAAAAACATAAGCTTCTAGAAAGCACCTATCAAGAATTGAGAAAAAACAATCCAAGTACAGTCTATTTGCCAACAAGCTAGAAGACTCTATTTGCTTGAAATTCCACCATGAAATATTTCTACCTCATCAGATGGGCCAGCACGAATTCTCTTCATCAAATGCTCCGAATCAGCTGATTGATAGTCAATCCCTGGGGCGCTAGTAGGAGTCCTCGGGTGCTTCAAAAATGCAGCTGAAGCAATCCAAATGGTGAAATCCCAAGTTCAATAGGTTTCCAAGCAATACAACATCAAAATTGTGTCACAAACACTTAATGTGAACATTCTTAGTTTTATATAATTCAATCAGTAGAAGTGTCCAAACTCATTAAATAATAATAACAATAAATAGACTCATAATTAATCGATAAAATTCAAGCACAAATCATGCTGACATGCACCCCCGACACATAGTCTAAGATATAGATAGGATCACCTGCATTAGGCTGCACAAGACCAGGGGGAGCAGCCGCAACAGCACCATGTGCTAAAGAAGGATTAGGACCTGACATCCACCCTGCAATAGCACTAGGAGAAGGAGAAACCACTGGCTGGAAAGGCTGCATATTGAGAGATGAGAAAATATCAATAATATCAATAAATGAATTTTAACATCACACAACTGAATTGTTTTAACACACATGGCAACACGAATAAAAATGATAACAATTAAATATGTTTCTTTCTATGTGAAGGTTCATGTGCAATTCACTTACACTATGCACACCAATGGGAGGAAAAGCACCAGTTTTTGGCATTGCTCCCACAAGGGGACTATTTGCAGGAGGGGGAGCACGGGCTCCATTAGTAGGAGCACAAGTGTGATCAACAAATAGAGTTTTTATATCTGGGTTGGGGCGTGGATTCTTGCAAAGCTGATGTTGCCAATTAAGGCTGAAAAGAAGAAAATTCATATTTACATCAAAATCCCTTTATAAGTATAGGCAAGATTAAGTCAAAAATCAAGAGGGAGAAGGAATCTATTATGACTAAGTAAACTGCTTTCATATCTCTATATGTTATGTTTACAAAAATGAGTTCCTCTAAAGTCCTAGATAGTAAAAACATCAAACCACCTTTGATTAATCAGAGTGCGAAGCCGAGAGGCTTTAAAGTTTGGGAAGACAAGCTTGTCCCGAAATAGTGGATTAGCCTCTATAAGCTTCTTGAGCTCCAAAAGCATTATAGTACGAGCCGACTTTGTGTCCCCATACTTGGAAAGTTGCTCATTTTGCCTGCTTCCAACAAGTTCAAAACGCTTCTCATTCCACGGTAAGGGTATACAAAAAGAAACACAAGTCAGTATTCAAGTTCAAAAATTCTGGCAGGTATGGCTTGTACCTGAAGTTATCAAGAGTAAGGAGTTGGGTGATCTCCTTGAAAAGCTCCTCATTGAATGAAGCAAAAACTTTCAGATCCTTTACCAGAATCTCAACAGCTTTAGCCCTATCTTGCCTGGACAACCGCAGGAGAGTTGTTTAATAGAAAGACAGACCACGCATTCTTTTCCACCAGAAGTAACCAATGCATTTATATCGATGGAATTAATGGAAACAACAAGATGAATGATGAATCTTAGAATAACAGTTTACCCTACAATACAACCAACAATAATAGAAAGACATACTACCTGTCAAGGGCTTCAAGATATTTCTGCTTTCTGATTTCAAAGAATATTTTCATGGAATAGCGGTTATCTTCAACCTTTGTAAATCCACACAAATAGCGTTCAACTTCTTCCCATTCGCCTGCTTGGACTTGATCCTCAAAGTGTTTCATATTGAAGAAAAACCCTGACTCTTGTTCCAACCTAACCCCATGCACACACCCACAATTTTCATAACCATAAAGAACAAATAAAAAAAAGAATCAACAAAATCCAAACCATACTATTTAACAGGCATGTATAATCTAGCAAATAAAAGCTAAATAAGCAGAAGCATGATTAATTGGATTACTTGTGCACTGTTTCCTTAAATTTCTCCTCATCCAAGAACTGTAAGATAAGAAAAACAAGCTCCCTGCTCAAGGAAGACATAGTTCCAGGTATCCCTAACCGCTCCAGTGCAAAGATAAGACAAGAAACGGCCAAGAAAGCCCACAATAACAAACAAAAGGAACCCAAAATCGAGCGTCCTTGCTCTTATTTGCTCGCTGAACCTCTTCTATATGGTTCTTGACCTTCGTAAAACAATTCCAAACGCTTCAAGTGCTACAGATAAACGCCCTGGCTCCTTTCTTTACTAATATTAGCGTACATAAACATGGTAGGTAAGTTTGTCCTCTGTGCCCTTTTCGATAATTATTCTCCTTATCATGTATTATACTTCTGTCAAACTTAACAAAACACAAAGGAACACTAAGACTAGATAAAAAGCTCCCAACAATCCAACACCATAACGTCAGAGGTGTACAAACAGTAAGAAGCAAACACCCTATGTCTTCCTCTCACTATCAATGCTCTTTCTAGCTTTTCCACCACAATTGCCTCAAACCTGCAATAGCAAAGCAAGGAGAAGCACTCAGAAACTCAAAAAAAGAAAAATAAATGCAATGTCCTCTTCATCTCTTTCTAGTTTAATCCAAAAATTTCCACTTAATATTCATCAAAACCCTTCAAGAATCTAAATCTACAACGCCTAAAGGCATCAAATAAAAGCTCCTTGGACTCTGTTCTTTTGTTCATTCAAGCCCTAATTTCCACTTTATTTCCATCAAATAACTCGAAGATCTATTGCTGAAAATAAGATGAAGTTCTAAAATGCTAACACATAAAGCAAATAAACTCATGTTTCCTTCCAACTCCTTCAATCCAAATATCATTCCCAGTAACTCAAGTCAAAAACAAAGCATAAACAGAGAAGAAACCAGAAAAGAAAAAGGAAAATCAGTCTTCGAAGCTCCTACCTAAGCTTTCTCCATTAAATGCTCCAGAAAACCCTAATTTCCAGGCAAACGGCACGGCCAAAGCAAAGATCTACAAGAAATATCACGATTTATCGCCCTTTTCAATCCATAAACAAACCAAAAACAAGCTTTGTTCATGACAAGTCTCAGAGTCCAAAAACACTTCCTGCGTGCAGGACGCAGAAACAGAGTCACGCGCAGGAGCCCTTACTGTATATGCTCTGTGTCCATGTAAGAGAGGGAGAAAAAATACAGAGGGGCACGAAGAAGCTCTTGTAGGGTTTCTTCCTCCTCTCTCTAGCCGTGTACGACTCGGTGTCTCTCCCTTCTCTGTGTGCCTCTCCTGCAAATGCCTTTCTCTCTCCTCTCTGTCCCTTTCTCTCTCTAGACTCTGCAGGTACTTTCTATTCTAGACTCCCTGCTCCTTTCTCTCTCTAGACTCTCTTCACTGCTCCTTTCTCTCTCTAATTTGGGTTTGCTTCTGCAATATCCTCATGCTTTTATAACCCTATCAATCCTCACCTCTACAAGGACAGTATTTATAGGGGAACCACGATTAGGTCGTCTCCCAAACTTTAGCGTTCACTAACCTGCCCTTAGGGTTAATTTTGAAAACAAATTCGAAAATGCCCTTTCCCACTTTTGGGGTTCCTCAAATGACCACAATGACCTTTGAGGTTCGTTCTCTGAGGCGGTCGTCCGTGTGTTTTCTTGAATGATCGTTGTGCCCTCAATTTCATGTGAATGACCAAAATACCCCTTGGCAGAGTAGGTCGTAAATTGCGAGACGGAGAAATAATTAAAGGTTAGAAATGGATTTTATCGTTGGTTGAAATAACGGTCCGGATTCTGTTTCAAAGGCATGGCGGGTTGTATTGACCGTAGATGTGACAGGAGAAATTTAAGGTTTTTACCCCTAGTTTTTTTTTTTCTGAGAGAAGAGCCTCTTGTTCCAAAAATGCCCCAGTAAGTGCATCCAAATGACCCAAAAGTATTTTTCTTTCGCTCAAGTGGAAGTACTGTTGAAGGCCGGCTTTATCAAAGTGCGGAAAAGGGGCCTGCCATTTCCTTCTTTACGGAAACCAGGAAATGCTTCTAGCTTTCTCCTTATTGCCCAAAAGCACCTCATCCTTTCATTGAATTGTCAATTTTGCCCTTGAGCCATTGGCCCCATATACTTTTCCCATTGACATATGAAAGTTTGGACATTATTTTACTTCAAAAGCGACATACCATGAACTTTATTGATGAAGGATCTTTCGTAATTTCACTAAAGTTCCATCTCTAGATGAATTATGTTGTTCAATACTTCCGATATGGACATACTTCTCTCTTTCCAAAGTTAAAACAAATGCACCATCTCGAAAAAGAATTTTTTTATAGTTATGTATATTATTCAAAAAAATCATGAAAATAGTCGAATACTATCAAGAAAACATAAAATAAGAAACTCTACTCCCCCAAGATATGCATGCATAGGCACATTTGTAATTCTGCGTACTGGGAAGGCTCAACACTTTCCCATTTAGGGGTATTTTCGTCATTTTCAATAGAATCCCGGCCCTCGGACCAATGCGACCTTACAGGGGTAGAACCGTCATTTCATGACTTAAGCGGCGCCCCGTTCGCCTAAAGGCATGCAAAGAAGCAAGGGCATTACAGTCATTTCTCCCACCCAACTGATTCCACGCCGCCACGTCATTCTTCCTCGTACATAATTACTCCCCCCACGAAGAAAAGCTTTTCCCGGTGTTATTATTTCCCCAAAATTAAAAAAATTTCGAATTTGATTTCCAATTTTTTTTTCCAGAATTTAACTTCGCGTTTTTTTACTGCGGATCTTATGGACCAATCAAAGGGTCGCTTTCGTGGGTTAGTGCGCGGTAGCTGTCCAGTCATTGGATAAGTAGCTCTGCGTATCAAAGCTTGGGTCTTATCACCAGTCGAAACGCCAATCTACTTTTTGAGATAAGTACAACGGCCTATCTGACATCGCTGTCCCGGTCCTAATTTTGTATTGGGAGATGGAATAAAAGACGTACGGTACGATCGGGACAGTCTGACTATAAATGCCGGTGAGTGCGACCGCCACGTGGCGGTCTTTGAGCCGTCGCTTTCGGCCAGATGCCTTCCCGCGACGAGGAAGTGGCGGTTGCACCGGTGGCAGTGTCGGCACGTGCGGTGGATGGATTCTCTCTGGCTTTTTTGGGCTCCTTTGCTTTGGCTTTTTTTTGGAGAATGACTAAAAGACATATCGTTACACCAGAAATTACAGTGATGCCCATTAAGGAAATCAAAAGGAATCGAAGACGTGTGCGGAAAGGCATGAAGGTATTTTGACTACTTGTAGTTTCTTTTTTTTTAGCCACTGTAAAGCATTTTTAAGTTGGGCTTTCTAACCTTAATCCGTTAGTCGTTTCGGTTCGATTTTACAAACATTGAATTCGTTCTTTATATGTAACAAATTCATGGTAATAAAGCTTCAAAAATAACTCCTTCCGTGTTTCTTTATACTTTTAGTCTATCACTTAAATAAACATTTTTTAAAAGAATAATAACACGAGATGTATATCTCTAAACTTATGGGGTGGGGCCCTAAAGTGAGAAATTGTTAGGTACTCTCCCAATTATTGTACTTTCTAAAAAAAAAGGTTTTGAACTAGAAGATAAAAAATAACCCTAAATAAGGAAAGCGTGAAGGCAAAGAAAAAACATATCAAAGGAACCTATGTGCATGTGTACAGCACACATACACACACTTTACTTATGAAATCGTGCCTCTTTTCTCTCTCTACGCTTTCGTTTCTCCCTCTACTCCGTACCCGTGTGTATACATTTTTTTATCTTTACATACATCTGCGTATATTACAATATACCCACATTTTTTATCTTTACATACATCTGTGTATATTACAATATACCCACATTTTTTTATCTTTACATACATCTGTGTATATTACAATATACCCACATTTTTTTATCTTTACATACATCTGTGTATATTGCAATATCTCCAAATGTCACGTTGCCCAAATAAATCGGAAACAGGTATCTTAAACGAAACTAAAGATGTACATAGCCCCCTAAAATCTCTCCCATATCCCTTTTTTTTCTCTTTCCTCTATTGACATGCAACGCTCTCACCATAATTAGTGCATTGAATTGGGATAAGGTTGAGATGATCATGATGGTACTATATATGGGTCATACTATTTTGTGATTATCAATGCATATTTGAATACAGTGTTATAATTAGTGCAGTGAATTGGGATAAGGTTCAGATAATGATGATGATAATATATATGGGTCATACTATTTTGTGATTATCAATACATATTTGAATACAGTGTGGTAAAAATTTTTGATAAAGAAGCCAGTGTTATTCCTCACTTAGGGATGTGTGTTAAGGTGTTTTAGTCATTTTACATGCATTATTTTCATGTTTTTTTTTAAAGATTGTATAAAATCAAACTAGTTATCTTTGAAACAAGATGGTAACAATTCCTTACAATCATTTGATGTGAAAATTTGATAGCTTGGATGTATCATAAACTTTCTGTAGTTTGAGCTTGGTCAATGAAATAATTGTGGCTACCTAATTTCACATATAATGATCAAGATTAATGTGACCAACTTGTCTAATTCTATACTTTCCATATATTTGTTATCTTGCAGTATTCGGTTTACTACAAAAACGAATACCTTTTTATATTTGCGCTTTTTCTTTAGAGGAAAAAGGTTGGAGAAAGAAATGTAAAATGACGGTATTGCCAATAATCGTTTGGACACACGAATCCATATCCATACGCTGCCTTTTCCTGCATGGGCTAAAGAGGAAGAAAAGATAGAAAATGACCATATTGCCCCGCTTATTCGCGGGCGTCCATCTCACTTTCACCAAAACACGTGGACTTTGCTGATTGGCAAGAACCACGACTGCAAACATCTGTATGGAGAAGGGCATTGACGAAAATGCCTGTACGAAAGGGGCATTTGACAAATGTCATTCGAGTAAGGGCAATCCTGAAATTCGTACGGTGTGTAGGAGGACTTTTGCAGGGCGTACTGTACGAGCGCCGCAGAGACCCATTAAATGGCTAAAAATGGGTTACTCAAAACCCTAGAAATTTTTTATCTTTTGCTAACCCTTTGGGATCTCCAAATTTTCACGAGAAGCTTGCTAATAAAATAAATGGGTACGAAAAAGCGATGTTAAGGAATTGAATATTGCACGGATCCTGAGGCATTTAATATTCCCCACAAGTAGAAAAAAAATCAGGAGAATTCCTCATCGTGCTCACGAGGAGCCCAATCTTTGTGAACTGGATTTTCAATACCATTCCTTAATGTGGGTTGCCTCTCTCTCTCTCTCTCTCTCTCTACTAAATCTCTCTCTCTCTCTCTACTACTACTACTACTACTATACTATATTATAGTATTACTACTACTTACTTACTTACGTACGTTACGTTACGTTACGTTACGTTACGGTTACGTACGGTTACGTTACG